GATGGGCTGAATTGCACAAAACGCATGATCGCACCGGCTAGTCTGGTGCGCGTTGCCATTTATCAATATTTCTCACACAAGTAAAGCTTTGTTCATGAATAATAATAAAATGGAAAATGAATAATGAAAATGAATAATGACAGTAATAATAATAATGAATAAGCGAATAATACAGCCGTTACAAACCGGTGTCCAGACACCAAAAATTTGCCCAGATACAAAAACTACATATAAATTTTAAAAATATGCAAAAAACACATACGGCGATCGCATTTGAACGGCAGAAGTTCGATAGCGCCTTCCAATTTCCACGGATCGAACATCGGCGGGCAGACACAGATACCCTGGAAAATGAGTAATTTCGTTCAGGCGCAACAATATAATCGTCACAAATCAGTGCTTCCAAACACCAAAAATTTTATCCAGAGGAATATTTCATTCGGAAAACCAGAAAAAGCAAATGTGAGATTTGAAAGAGACAACATTTGCGTGAACTTGTTCGGATGAGGCATTAATGTACAAAATTTTTAACTACGTCTTTACATCTTCCATTTTGGGGGATAACCGTCCCTGGTCACTTTTGCCGTTCTGCGAGGGTTTGCTGATGTCCAGCGCCCGATAGTTTTAATCATTTGACGGAACTGAGTTTTTATAGAAAATCTGTCGACTGCATTTTATATTATTCCTCGTCGGTATTGACAGGGTGAAAACAGAAAAAGGCAAAGAAACGTGGGTTGCTAACCATATGGCATGCTGGTTCTGGAAGCAGATATTTATCCCTGTAATCGTCGCTCATCGACATGCAGTAGTCATCGCGTTTCCCCGCTCGACAGGATACTGGAATTGCTGCAATATGCCTGGCAATTATTATTTTCGCAACCGTAAAAGTACGACTAAGTAATACCAGGACTATTCCGATAATTAACAATAGGTATCTACGGCCACAAATTACCACCTCACATCTACCGCTACCCCGATGTTCCTGCTTGTAATGACTAATTTTGGCCAGGGTTTTCATGGCCCTTTATTTCCTTTCTAATTCATGACAGTGATGTTACTAGGATGCTCCCACACGCTCGGCGTAGCTATCATATAATAATTAAAAGAAACACGGGAAATAGGTTTTTATACTCGTAACTAATACGCACGAAATGGAGATTTTACTGAAATTTTTCGAACAAATAACGTAGGAAGACAGTCAAAACCTTATATAAGTTTTCAAGAACTATTTCTGCAGTTTCATCCTCAGCTTCTGGTCTTAGCTCTTTCAAGTTCTGCTTTAACGTGGCTGCACTTAAACCTGTAAATTCCGTCGATTTCCTGAGAAATCTGCTCTCAGTAATTTAGAGGTCAGTTCGTACTCTGGAAACTTACAAGCTGGACAACTTGCTGGACAAAGGCACGTTTTGGAGCCGTCCGGGCCAGAGGCGCATTTTCCGCCGTAAGCACAATCGTTGATCGAATCCTCGCATTCCGGGATCTCTGGAAAATATACAGTGAATTTTCATTTTTCAAAATTTATCTGGTGTTTTTATTAAAAGTACGTACGATGTCTTACCACGATATAAAAGTAACATTTCGGACGAGTTGGCGATGGTCAAAGCAATGCTTTTGTCAGAAAATTTCTGAGTTAGTAGCTTTCTCAAATGACAAAATGCTCGTCAAGAACGCCAACAGGTTAAACAGGAGGCGATGCAGCACTGGTCAAAGCAAGCAGGAAATAAAGAAGGAAAATGGCATGGTTGTTGGGACTACATCACTGGAAAATGCTGTGAATATTGTTCACTGTGATGAACCAGTAACTTTTTTAAGTGTCGAATATACATACACATTCAAATTCAACGTTTAATGTGCATATTAATAGAAAGTTATAAAAGGAAAGAATGGAAAAAAGAGAGGAAAAAAAAGGTGAGAAATGAAAATTAGAAAATTTGTGAGATTATTATAATTGGTAAGAAATGTTTCAGTCCATTAATTTTTGAGCAATGGAAAGAAAAAAGTTCGAAGAAATAGGCGAAAAAACTGTTTAACTTACTCAACTCGTTCGGTGTTTTTGGCTTTGGCTTAGGTGGTGCTTCAGTGATGTTTCTCGAAGCTAAGTTCAATTCGCTGCTCTCAAGTACATTGTTATTATCGCCGTTCAGCAATTTTGCTTTTATAGTCATCTGTAAATGAAAAAAGGGACTGGTAACTCAATCAGAATCACGAAAATTGTTAGTCCGAAGTAAATTTTGATATTATTATGATGAACATTTACATTCAGGCGCTAGTATTTCAGATTCTACAGATCGACCGTTGATACCACTCCCTCCTACCTGGACGAATAGCGATGAAGCCGGTACTTTTTCAACTTACAAAAAGTACTGTGAATTGAATTTAGCAAATTTACCTCCTTTCCATTTTTTGAAAATCCAATAATAAATAAAATTACAGCCAATTTTGCCCCCCGGACAATCGATCTGAAGAAACCGAAAGAGGGTTGAATTCCTTCTAACCCTTCAGTATGATGACTTTCCATGACACAACTGAACTGTAGCCCCCTCGTCCCTTACGCTCCCGCTCCCTCTCCCATTTGGTGACTTCCTGTTGCACAAAATACAAGCTTCGAAGCTTCTTTCTTTGAAAGATAAATTAGAAATTTTTGCATTTATCAGAAAAACGAGGGTCTCTTGGGCTAATAATGTGGGTATCCCATGTTAGCGATGTTACTGGAATGCTTCCACATATCAGACACAGCTGTGTTAGGTCCTTTGATTCTGGGCTGCACACCTCCAGTCAGTATTCACCGTCTGTTCGATGCATGTGTGCCACCTCTACGAGGGCTATCTGAATGGCCACTTCTTCGGGGACCATACCAGTAGTCCTGGTGGATAATAAAAAGCGTGATTTAATGTTCAAGAATGATGACACCAGTGATTTTCTGAGAAGCAGGAAAATGAGATAAATCAAAAAAATTTTTGCACTTATCAAGGATACGAGGATCTCCTGGGCTATTAATGTGGGTATCCCGTGTTAATGATGTTACTGGAATACCCTCATATACCAGACATAGCTGTGTTAGGCTCTTCGATCCTGGGCTGCATACCTCCAGTTAGTGTATCCACCGTCTGTTCGATGTATGTGTGCCACCTCTACGAGGGCCATCCGAGTGGTTATCTTTACCAGAGCTATCCGAGCGGTCATTTCTTCGATGGTCATCCGAGTGGTCGCTTACTTTCTCGTGGATAATAATGCCACTTAAAGTTTAGTACCTGTGATGTCCTGAGAAGCAGGAAGATCAGCGTTGACCACCAGAGCCATTGTGGCGTTGTAGTAGCAGCAGTGGCACCGATCATTTGCCGCAGCATACTGCTTATTTTGGGATTTGTACGATCCGAAAAGCGATTTCTCGTGCTGTTGTCGCTGCTGCTGCTGCTTCTCCCGCTGCTGTTGCTGCTGCTGCTCGACCACAGTCATGCCCATCCATCGCCAGCCGGACACAAACTGCTGGTGCTGCTGCTCCTGCTGCTGCTGCTGCTGCTGCTGGAGAATCTCCCCACAAAATAAGCAATTATTTTTCCTAAAAATTTTGTAAAGTTTAAAAAATTTATAAAATCAAATTTGAAGTAGGCGCGAAAAACAAGCGCACATGTAACACATTGAGATCAAAAAAAGTCCTGGATTATAAATACAAGGAACAACAAGACTCTTTCAGTCGAACAATCACTGTGGGTATCCCATGTTAATGATGTTACTGGAATGCTCCCACACAGTTGTGTCAAGCCGTTAGGATGCGGAACGACACAAGTTTATTCCAGTGCCCACCAAATTCCGAAACAGGTATTTATTTCTCTGATGGGTATAACATGGCTCGGCCTTCTTTTGTAATAATATCCACGTAAATTGGAGGAAAAAAAAACAGAAATAGACTTGGAATAATTGTAATATCGGGGAAAATGGTCGGGAAAGTCGTGAATCGAAAATCAATTAAGTTCTGAAAATTAAAATTGGGATGGGAATTAAAATTTGAGCGAAGTGAAATCAAAAATTAATCAAATTTTAATCAAAATTGATAGGGATTAAAAATTAATCGAGTTCAAATTTGCATTGGTAGGCTATCCAGGAAAATTGAAAATCAAAAATTAAGCAAATTCTGAGGGTACTGAAAATTGGAATTGAAATCTAACTCAAAAATGAAGGGGTGCATGCCCTTTCCGCTCCCCCCCCCCTCCCCCGTACGAGGAATACTTAAAAGTATGCTAACTGCGGGTTTGAGACTCCGCAGCACATGCCAGTACCAATTTTACCATCGAAACGAATGAAACTGAATCGTAGAGGGATTGCCTGTCCAATGACGCACAGTTCGAGCCTTTGACTTGCTGCCACACGACAACAGTACTACTTCCTACCGCATCAGGTCGGCCAGCTGTGGATGTAATACAATCAATTCTGTACCAATCACTTTCTCAGCATCCGAAAAAATGCCCTGAGGCGGCGAGGTGGAAGAGGAAGCAACAGCAGGAGGAGTAGTGGGGAACAAACACAGATGCTACCCATCATCACTCGACTTTGTCCAGGAATCGATTCGGCGAAGAAGAAGAAACGACGACAACCGAACGACAACGACCAACGACCACCAGCAGTCGTCCCCCAATGACCAATTGCTGTTGCTGCTACTGCTGCTGCTGCCGTCAAGAACCAGGACATTACGAATTGGCTATAATCCACTTTAAAGCCCGGCTATGGTTAAAGTACATATAAATCCTTGCCAAATCCATAAAGCACAACATCGAATGTGTTTCAAAAATTTCACGGCCAATGGTCAAAATGAGTAATTTTTGAACTGAAGTAACTCTAAGTAGCAGTGTTACAACTCTATTCCTGGTTTTTGCATAGTTCCAAGGTGGAATCGGACTCTCCTTGTCACCCTCTTTCGACCTCCCCTCCCCTCCCCCCCCCCTTCCGAGGAGCCCCACCCTCCCAGGAGTCCGTCCTGGATTCCTTATGCATCATCATATTCCGATCTACGGTCTTAAGTTAAAATTCTTCAATGTTGTATTACCTTGGAAAAAAAAAACCCCCTCATTTAAGTCGCAGCTATGCTTGGAATACAAATCTAGCATTTTAAAATGAAATTTTGGTGGCTTATAATTATGAAGGATTGTAAATAGATATAAATGGAAATGTGAATAAAATAAATTAAAATCTGAATGGCAGTGTTTCGGTCCATCAAGTCACATACATTCCTATTCAGTGCTGCAACTGGCATATCCACATAGCAACAGCAATAATGTAATTGGCCTCATGCGTTTTTCTTCACGTGTTTTTTACGTAAAAACATATGTGAAAAGAAGTGAATTAACAAAAATATGAGACCTGGCGCAAATGCATTGGACAAACGACGGATGCTATTAAACGCTGAATATAGCTGTGCCATACCTTTCGATTCTAAGGTGTATAATAATGCATATAATAATGCACCTTAGAATCGAAGGGTTTGGCACAGCTATGTTCAGCGTTTAATTGCATCCCAGTAACATCACTAACAATGAATACCCACACTGGCACCTCGGACTCCTCTTGATATGAATTACGGAAGTTCGAGTACTGTAATGGACTCCTGTAACTAGCTAGCTAGCTTTAAATCTCGTGTGTCCGTACAAGAAATCTCACGTGTCTGCGCACGAAATCACGTGTCCGTGCGTGAATTTCGTGTCCGTACGAAAACTGATTTCGCATGAAAGTTGATTTTACGTTTCTGGATCCGTATGCGTCTGGGATATAAACTTGTAAAATTTCACTCTTCTAGCTTACCAAGTAGCAAAGTGCCGAAAATTGTTTCCGAGATTAAATACCATCCGCTACTGTAGTGATACAAGAAACCTGGTCCAAGTACAAGTTCTCTTGCTTATTCCTCCAGAGAGAAGCTTAAATAGGTTTTAACATAAGTTCTGACGGAAAAGGGCATTAAAATGATATGAAAGAGGTTATCTAGAACGGGAATCAATGGAATTCTAAACAATTAAAATCGGAATAGCAGCTAAAATTTGACAGAAATGGAGGGAAGCACAGCAAAAACCCCACTCTTTCGGAGGTTTTTTGGAAAGCAAACTTGTGGTAGGCTAGACTCCACAGTAACAACCAATCCAGAATTGCAATTTTAATTCAGTTGTTTTGGGTATCAATGATAAGGACCTAAGTGTGCAATAAGGGCACTGGATGAACAGAAGCATTAAAGCTACAAACGTCTGCGTGGAAAATAAAAGAACTGGAGCAACATTGAGGCATAGGCAGATCCAGGACGGACCCCAGGGGGACGACAGGAAGGTGGGAGAGAGCCCCCTCGCACTCTGAAACTATGCAAAAACTTGGAATAGAGTTGTAACACTGCTAATTAGAGTTATTTTAGTTTTATTTACGAACAGACTCGGACTTTTTCAGCAATTGGTGCTTGTGTCACTGGGGGAAAGAGGAGGAAGGGGTGATTTCGAGTAGAAATCTTCATTTTTAACACGAGAAAAGGACGGAGGGAGGGAAGAGGATCGTTTTGGATAGGCTTGGATTTGTTAGAAACTGAGTGGACTAGTGAGAGAAATTATGATGTTAGTGCTGGTGGTGGTGGTGGTGGCGGTGGTGGTTAATGGCTGCATTCATGGAGATGTGGGAACGGGGAATCCATAAAAAGGGTCCAGAACAGAGGCAAGCTTGATTACTGCTCTGTGCTAGTGCGACACTACGCTCTCTCAGCTAGTTGGTGACAATGGCTGCTGCTACTACTACTACTGCTACTACTAATACTGCTGCTGCTACAACTACTATTGCTACTGCTACTGCTGCTGCTGCTGCATGAGGGAGGAGGGAAATGAATGCTGCTGGAGCGGAAGTGCCAGGAGCTAATTATATGCATAGGGCTCCAAGTGTGGCGACGGTTTAATATCCTTTGAAACGAAAAGAGCGATTTTCACTCATCCGACCACCCATGATGCATTCTACCTCACTTCCTGTAATATACAGTATGCAATACAGAATGTAATTATCAAAACTTGAAATCGAAGGAAAAAACTCGAAATTGAGGGGGAAAAAAATTTGAGGTTTTAATTGCTTCGATTTTAAAGCTGCATTTTTCACAATTTAAAATAATTACATAAGAAATCCAAAGAATTTTTCGTGAGTTTTTTTAATAAGTTACACTTCATAGCTTACTTCTCTAGTGATACAACGAACAACTCGTCAAGTTGTTCTAGCTAATCTGCCTGGTGGTAATAAGCCTGCTGGTGGTCGAACATTCATTTTGTTTCATCAAAATCAGGATATTAAATAACGAATTAAAAACTGCAAAAATTCTAATCCAATCCAGTCTCGCAAATTTCAATTTCTGTTTGGTCATGAGAAAGGAAAAAACAGAAAATGAAAACTGAAAAATTTGGAAAAAGTCTGAATTATTAATTAAATTTTATGCGCAAGGCTTTTAAATTATGGCGTTATTCGTTCTGTCGCTGTAACACCTGCCTAAATATGAGTATTCGATCATAAATAAAGGAGTGAAAATGAGGTAAGAAAATTTCGAAAACATTCACATCATATTCATTTACTCGGTGAATTACTGATTTACTTGAAACGGCTACTAATTGACTCATCAGTGATGCAAGCAACAACTGCGTTAACTGTTTTTCACTCAGTGAATGAAGCATAAAAAATTCTTGAATTTATACTATCATATAATAAAAGTAACTGCTTTTGTATGCGATGTAATGATTGTGACATAAAAAAATGCTAGGATCGTCAACAGTTCGGATCAAAGCAAATGGAAAAGTTGTCAGTCCAATAGCTGGAGAACTCATTATGAGCTGCTACTGTTGATTATTTTTTCGCTGCTGACTTAGAAATTCCTCCAGAATTTGGGGAGCGAAAGAAATTGGTGAGCAAAGAATCCTAAAATTTTATAAATTTATTTTAGATTAATAGATTCGCACATACCTAAGCACCAGAACTTTTA